AGGAATAGCTTTCATGAAGAGTCTTACCAAAAAAGGAAAATATTAGAAGCTTTAACAGCTTCCTGATATGCTAAAAAAATGCAAGTTATGATCTGCTATGATGCTATAGTGTTTATTTAACAAAACTATCATGAAGTTTTTAGTCAATAGACTTGAACTGAGATTACTTTCTCCTCTGAAATTAGATTACCTGAAAGTTAGAGTCAGCAACAGGAATTTTCTAGGGGAAAAAGGGATTAAAACAGAATTCTTGTAGAGCTAAGCAAATTTTTAAGGTTAGAATGCCCTCTTTGGGTATGATGATATACTCACAGAAATAATGAAGTGCTCATCAAATTGGATGCAAAGAAAGGAAAAGGCCCATGCATTGAGTCTACAGTCCTGTAACAAGAAAGGGACAGTGCTAGAACTTTAAATTTTATATATAAAACACACACACGTGTATATATACACACATACATACTATAGTCATGTAGAAGATATGACATAATCAAAAACAGCTAATTATCAGTGAACAAAGAATTAGGAATGTTGGTCATGACCTAAAACACCATATTTACTCAACTGTAAGATAACCCTGATTATAAGATGACCCTGCAATAATTAGATTCTATATATGGAAAATTTATAAATTTGATATAATTTTCCAGATATGGAATCTAATTATTGGAGGTTTGCGTTGAATTTGTCTCCCTCACACTGCTATAGCATGGAAAATAAATATGGGGGCCAGGTAACCCCTTTGCCCTCTGCCCCCCAACTTCTTTCCCCACATCCCTTTCCCCCCTTATTCTCAGACACTGCTTTCCCTGAGCACATGGAAGTGAAGAACAAATCTGAAAAAACTGCCCTTGAAATAAATATAGCTGTAGCAATTTGCATATAGTACCCATAGATTTAGTTCACCCAGAAATTATGCATTTTACCTTTTTTGAAACTGCTGCAAGCTTTAACACAGGTACTCCATAAAAATACTTTTAAGTAGAACTTTGGCACCTACTTAGAGAGAGTACAAATTATGCATGATATTAGCCCAAAGCCAAAAATGATTTAGCAGGTAGTTAAGTGGGCTGGCTCCAGCAGAGAAAATAGTGTTTCAAGCTATTGTTGTCCCACAGCCCAGCACTGCTCAGTATGGGCACCTATACACATGCAGCAAGGCTGCTCCCACACCCTGTAATCAAGTCTGGTAAATTACACTCCAGCAGACTCCAGCGTTTTCAGTACAGGGATGGTGATACGCGTAACAAGCCAGGTGCCCCTCCCCCCAAAAAATCTATATGTGCCCTAGGTGTGTATATTCCAGATAACCCCCTCCCCAAATGAGCCATGTACTAATTAGCCCCTCCTCCCCCATGCATGATTGGAACAGAGTGTTCTTGCCATGAGTCCTGAGATCCTCCAAAAATTTATAGTAGATGAGACATAGGGCAACTTGGCCTGGCTTCAGGTCATGGAGGGCAGGTCCACACTAATCACATGCAACGGGCTAAGAGGGGGTGACAGAGGGATTCTGGGTGAACTGTTTGGGGCCCCATTTGGTGATGTTTGCCAGACATTTAAGGCTGGTGAAAAAACAGGAATCACTGGAAACAGGAAAGAAAAGCGCAGCTCAGCTGTCAGAGTAAAGAGGAAGTCAAAATATAGGAAATGTACTTGCTCATCATGAATTCAAAAAGAGTCAGTGCTAAGGGGTAGGTGTGCACCAAAAAAAAAGGGTTTTCTTGGCCAATACCAATAGCTGATTATTAACCAGCCAGGTAGTAAGCTATGTGAAAAAGGCTCTAAGCAAACTCTAGACCTACTACCAGAAATCAGTAATGGAGGATAGAGAAGACATGGCCAAAGCTCCCTGGCACAGAGACGTGGCACAGGATCTTCCAACTTCCACCGAGTGGAAAAGCGGGCAGTGACAGCACGGAAGAAGAAGAGACAAGTGGAACTGACGATGGCAACAGCAGCAGTGGGTCCTCCAGTGGGAGCTGGAGCAACAGCAATATGGGCAACAGGTGAACTATGTGGCCCTGCAAGCAGAGTGGGGATGAAAGGAAAGGGTTACCTGGTCTAAGAGACCAGAAGTTGCTTGTGTGTAGCATGCGATGCGGATATTGTAACGGGTTTGGGTGGCCAGCAGGCTTTTGTATGGGCGTGCGGGTGCAGGTTTTGTAATGGGTTAAGGTTGTCTTTGTGGAGGGATACTCAGAGTATAGATAGATAGATAGATTTTTTTTTTTTTTTAACCAAAAATCACCCAATGCCAACCCATCAAGGTGGTTTTCCTGCCTTCCCCCTTCTCCTTCAGAGCCATCTTCCTCCCCCATGCACTGCTTCCTTGTGAGGGGCTTCATCCCCCTACCCCAGTGCCTTGGATGCAAGGTGAGCCCCCCCAGTGTGCATGTGGGGGGGAAGAACAGCAGGCAGCCCTCCAGACCCACAGCAGCTGCTTGCCCCAGCGACTTCACACCTCCTGCAGTCTCAGCCCCACCCATTATTCCCCCTCTGCCCCCACTGGTGGCAGGCCCAGCCAGGCATGGAGCACATGGGACTCTGCTCCTGCTATGCACCCTGGGAAGGACTGCACTTCTACATCCTGCTGTGCTCTGGGGAGGGACCAGAGCCTGAGCAGTTCTGACAACACAGCGGGAGTGCAGGGGAGGGGGAGAGGAAGGCATGTAGGCTGCCCTGCCCTAGGGGCACAGACCCCTGGGCACTGTGGATTGAGTCACAATGGGCCAGGCAGGCCAGTTCAGTCAGCCCTAGTCACGTCTGCAGCATTCGGTACCTTGTACAGCGCCCGCCCTGGCCCCAGCTAGCAGTCCACATTGCACTGCACCAGCACCCAGGACACCACAGAAGCTGCTCCACTCCAGCCTGTCAGTGAGGGAATGGGAGTACTGTCACCCTGGCTCACGGGAGGGAACCCAGGCATCCAGGTGCCCAGGCCTGAAGGCATAATTGATGGAGAACGCTGCCAATAGTCAATAACACTGGGCACCAATGACACGGCTCGGAGCGCTCCCAGCCAGGTCGTGAGGTGCTACAGGGATTTGGGAGCGGGGCTAAAGGGTCTGGGGGCACAGGTGGTGTTCTCGTCGATCCTCCCAGTCTCAGGCTATGGGCCAAGGAGGAAGAGGAGGATCCACGTGGTCAACCAAAGACTGCGGCGCTGGTGTCGTCGGGAAGGCTTTGGCTTTCGTGACCACAGCCCGCTCTTTGGCGAGAGAGGCAGCGAGCTGCTGAGAAGAGATGGCCTCCACCTCTCTCCCCTAGGGAGGAGGCTCTTCTCAGCCAGACTGGCTGACCTGCTCCACCGGGCTTTAAACTAAGCCCGCTGGGGGACGGGGGCACTACCGCCACTGCTGGCCCGCTGAGCAATCCTTGCAAAG